TGGGATTTAAGGTCCTTTCCAATCCAAACCATCCCATAATTCTGTGATAACAGGAAAGCTGTGCCTGTCCCAGCTGGAATGCAAGGCTGGGGAGGTGTCAAGTGATGGAAAACATCCTCTCCCTGTGGAACCTCCCAGCAGCAGCCCCGAGGGTTGGAGTTCCTGGGATGCCAGGACTCCACAACATCTCCACATTACCCGGGATTTGCATCCCTGTTTCCAAAGCCAAGCCCAGGATTTGCATGTTTGGGAAGCAGAGGTGGAGCAGAAAATGGGCAAAGTCCAAATAAATTCGGGAAAGGAAAGGGAAAGGGAAAGGGAAAGGGAAAGGGAAAGGGAAAGGGAAAGGGAAAGGAAAGTTCTGGTTTTTCCCTGGATAAAACGTGGCGTTGCCCTTTCCCGGTGCTGGAGCAGGAGTTTCACCCGAGCTGCCACACTTGGAAACGGCAACTTTGAATTCTAAACGTGTCCAATTCCCATCCTCCCAGCGCAATTAACAGCCACTAATTAACTCCGTGTGCTCGGGCCCTGCCAAAGCCAGGCTGGGCTGCCAAAAGCAGCTCCTCCCAAAGCCAGGACGCAGGGAGCTCCTCCCGGGGATCCCAGGATGCTGCAGCCACCTCCTGCTCCAAGAGACAGAAAATTCCAGCCCCAGGAGCAGCATCCCGAGCTCCTGGGTGAGGAATTCTGTGCCAAAATCAAGGATTCCAACAAAGTTCTGATGGGATGGGCAGGTTTTGGGCATCACTTCCCCTTCCTGGAGCCTCAACCCCTGCTCCAAGGCCTGGGGAAAAGCTGGGATCCTGATGGGTATAAATACAGATTCTGTACATATTGTAAATGCATATTATGGCATTGGCTTTTTGCAGATATTTAGGTGGGTGTTAAATGCGTGGTGTTGAGATGATTTTTTAAAATCTACTTTTCTTTAGGAGTAACGTGGGCTGATAAAGTTTCTTTGTAGTGAGTGCTTGGTTAAACAACACCCAGTGAAGACCCCAGCTATTGATATAGCAGTTACCAGCACCGACCATCTATAAAAATTAAAAAAACACAGCCCAAATTAAAAAACAAATTTAAAAAATAGAAATAATAAATTATTTTTAAAAATAAATTAAAAACACCACCAAAAAACACGCCTGCTCTAAAAAGGAGGACTCCAGGAGTGGCCATGTAAAACAGCTCCTGGAATATGAAAAATAGTTTCTAGAAAAGTTTAAAAATATATGATGGGTCTATGAATATGCAAGGGGCTGATGAATTTAAGGGGTGCCCTTGGCTGAGCCAGGCCATTAAAATCTCTTACTTTATTTTATTGTCTTTTATTAAACCTTTTAAAATCCACCAGAGAGGTGAACCTCATTTTTCACAATTTGGGATGTCCTGCAGAGTCAGATACACTTTGTGAGTCCCTTCCAGCCAGGATATTCTGGGATGCTCTGATATTCTGGGATGCTCTGATATTCTGGGATTCTCAATCCTGCCAGGAACAACGCTTTGAGAGTTGCTAGCTTTAATTTTTTTTTTTTAATTTTTTTTTTCTTTTGCTGGAATTTGCAGCAGCCCAGCCCAGCTTTCAGTGGGTCACTGGGGCAGCACGTGGCAGGGCTGGGCTCCAGCTGAAACCTCCCTCTTGTCTGGAAAAATTACGGCCCCGGCCGCTGGTGCCACATCTGACAAGACGCCGCATGCTCCGCTAATCCTCGCCGGAGATTAACTCGGGATTTGGAATTCCTGCCTCTCCATGGGGCAATTAGGAAAGCTGGTGCTGGGCTGGGTTGGTTTTTTTTTTTTTTAAGCTCTTGGCTGAGCTCAGAGCACTTTCTCTGAGCTGGCTGGGAAGGGTTGGGTCAGGGTGGATCTGGTGTCACTTCTCCTCTCTGAGCCAAGCCCTGGAGCCTCTGGGATGTCCCTTGTCCCATCCCTGACCCCATTCCTCCAGGATATCCCTTGTCCCATCCTTGACCCCATTCCTCCAGGATATCCCTTGTCCCATCCTCCTTGTCCCATCCTTGACCCCATTCCTCTTGGATATCCCTTGTCCCATCCTCCTTGTGCCATCCCTGACCCCATTCCTCCAGGATGTCCTTTGTCCCATTCCCCTTGTTCCCATCCTCACCCTGCTCCTCTTGGGATGTCCCTTGTCCCATCCTTGACCCCATTCCTCTGGGATGTCCCTTGTCCCATTCCCCTTGTCCCATCCTCTTTGTCCCATCCCTGACCCTGCTCCAATGGCACCCACACAGCCACAGGTGCTGCCCCTTTGTGGGGACAGGAAAGGAGGAGCTGTCCCAGCCCTGGGAGAAGATTTGGGATGGATTTGCTGCCAACGGATCCTCACCAAAATCTGCTCCTGCTCCTCTGGCTCAGGAGCCCCTGGAGTGCCACATTTCACCCCAAAAGGGCTGAGATCCCACAGGGGATCCAACGGGGACATGAAAGGGATCAGCTGCTCCAAGGAATCCCCAAAGCCCAAGGCCTGCAGTTACAGAACAGGAACAATTCAAGCTAAACCAAGATTTAGAGAGGAAATCATTCCCAAAACACGAGGACAAGATTTTTTTTATGGAAGCCCCAATCCCACACTCCAGGACAGCTGTTCCCACCCCACAGGCACAGAGTGACTCCAGCAGCACTGGAGCAGCTTGTGGGGAAGCCAGGAAAGGATTCCCTGAGCAGAGCAAAAACAACTCCTACTGTACACTGAGAAAAAGGGGAAAAAAAGAGTGAAAAAAGGGAAAAAAATGTATCGAGTGCCTGGAGCTGTCAGAAAGATTTCCACAGCTTTGGCAAGACAGACACAACTAATTTAGCACGGCCTGGCTGAGGAATATTAAGGAATATTAAGCTGTCAGGGTGGATGATAGGAATTCAATCAGTGGGAGCAGCTCAAAGCTCGGCAGCACCATCGCTGTGGGCTGGGCACGCAGGGATCAGAGCTGGGATGGGCAGGAGAGAGGGGCAGGAACAGCCGGAGCTGCAGGAGCTGCCCCTGCTGGGATGCCACTGCCACAGGGATCGGTGTCTGAGGGTGCTGGAGCACTCGGGGTGGCAGTGCCACGGAGAGGGAGGATGAGCCACGGGCACTGCCATGGGCACGGCTCAGGAGGGCTCTGAATCCCAGCAGGAATCCCTTCCTGGAGGAAGGGGCTGTGCCGGCCCTGGCAGTGTCCTGGTGGCACTGGGGTGACCCCAAATCCCATCCCCCTGTGCAGGGGGAGCAGCTCAGCCTCTCCCTCAGATCCCCCCGGGGCTGTGCCAGGGCCAGCGGCTTCCCTGCCAACAGTGCCAACAATGTCCCTTGGTGCCACCTCCCTCCTTCACTGTCCCTTGGTGCCACCTCCCTTGCTGTCCTTTAGTACCACCTCCCCTCTCACTGTCCCTTGGTGCCACCTCCCCTCTCACTGTCCCTTGGTCTCACTGTCCCTTGGTGTCACCTCCCTGGCTGGCAGAGCAGGGGGAATTCCCGTCTGGAAGGAATTGTCCCGTTCCTGCAGGGATTTCATCTCTGTCCCCCTGGCACGTTCCAGCCTTTGCCTGCTCCTGTCATTTTTTTCCTGGCGTTTGTTGGGCAGGGAAAGGGCTGGGAAATGCAATTCCCATGGGATCTGGGAAATCCCAGAGCTCCTTCCTGGGGGGACAAACACCCCTGGCACTGGGAGGGCTCTGGGTCAGCCCAGTCCCAAATAATTCCCAAATTCCCAGGAGCAGGGGCTGCAGCTCAGCCTCCAAAACCAACTGCCAAAGTCAGGTATGAAAATTCCTCAGAATAATCTAAAAACGGGAAATGTAATATCCAGATCCCAAAAAGACGCTCTAGAACAAATAAAATTAATAATTTAAAAAAATCCAATTAGCATCCCTAAAAAACAATTAAAAGACCTCTTAAAACAGGCCCAAGAACAATTCCCAAATGAAGACCCAAAAAAATCTCTTTAATCCGTTTTTTCTGGGACGCTTTGGATCTCAGACTGGACAACACAAACCCGGCAGCTGCAAAATTCCTTCCTGCTGCAGAGGAGTGTGTGGAGTTATTGCAAATAAATGCAAATCATAAACACAAGCAGGAAACAAAGAGATGATCCCTATGACCGAAATCACAGGAAAAAAACTTGGATCTCTTTTGGGATATCCTGCAGAGTGCCCAGAGTTGGATTCACCTCGTGAGAATATTCCAGCCTGGAATATTCTGGGATGCTCTAATCCCAGCCACAAGTGGAAACCAGCAGGATTCTCAATCCTGCCACACACAAGTTATTAAAAATAACTTTTTTTTTTTTTTGGGGGGGGGGGGGGGGGGGAATTTTCAGCCCAGCCTTCAGCAGCTCCAGGAGCCCCCAGCGTGCTTCCCAATTAAAGCCTCCCTGATTAGGGAGCCCGCTTACATAAACCCGATTAGCAAGGCTGGGCTGCTGGCTCTGCTAATCCGGGATTTGTCGTGCGGGAGCCGATGGGAAGGGGCAGTGCCAGCTCACATGGCACAGGGCACGGCAGCTCCGTGCCCCCAGGAATTCTCCTAATCCCTGAAATCACAGCGGAGCCAGAAATCACCGCTTGGGAGTTTTCTTCCCATTGACAGCGCCCGGCCAAAGGCGGCTTTCACACCCAGCCTTAAATAAGGATTAAATCCCACACGGCTCCATCGTCCCGGAGGATCCCAAAAATCCTTTTGGCAAAGGAAATTCCCCCTCCCGGAGCAGAGGGGAGCTGGGCTCGCAGCACTCAGGGGTTTTCATCCTCTCAAACTGCCCCAGACAGGATCGACTGCTGGAAAAAATAAAGATTTGACAGGAAGGTCTCACAAATATTTGTGTGTGTGTAACAGAAAGATCTTTGAATGTAGAAGCTGAAGAAGGAATAAAAATGAGAGCAAGTTTTGATAAAAAAGAATTGCAGAGCCAGACTGGCTGGGTAACTAAAAAAGCCAAAGGTATTTCAGTGTGTGAGGTGGAAGGGGCTTTTCTAATTCTGAGCAAAAGATGAATCCACCTCAATTTTACCAAAAGATTTTCACAGGCAAACAAAAATGCCGTGTTGCAAGTAGAAAGAAAGAAAGATCTCAAAATTCTCCGCTGTGAGAAAACTCAAAACCAACTTTTAGCTCAAAGTGTAACACACTGACTTTTTGTGACTGGAAAATATTAACCTGAACATGGAATGTCAGTAGTTATGACGGGCTATAGGTGACGGTGAAGGCGTTGATTGGGTGTCATGGTTTAAGATGCTCTGCAATGAAAAGTCAATAATGCACTGGAACCAGAACTGGAGTGGTTTCAGATAAACCCACAGCTGATGGTGACCTCTGTGGGCTGGGCTCTGCCACCCAGGACCTGTGAATTGCTGTGTTCAAATACCATAAACAGCATTTTAAATAAGAAATAAATTAACTGTATCATTTAAATACCATAAACAGCATTTTAAATAAGAAATAAATTAACTGTATCATCTGAATACCATAAACGGCATTTTAAATAAGAAATAAATTGCTGCATCATTTAAATACAACAAACAGCATTTTAAAGATCCAATCTGAAGTCTCACGTCCCTCGTTTCAGCTCTTACACTTCTGGATACAATAAACAGCATTTTAAATAAGAAATAAATTGCTGTATCCTCTAGATACAATAAACAGCATTTAAAATAATAAAGGGCAGGATGAGGCTGTGTCCTTCAGTGCTGACCCAGCTCCAACAGGAATTTTTTGGGATGGGGGGGGAAAGGCTGCAGCCGTTCTGCTGGACCCCAAAACGTGCAGCACCTCTGCTGGACCCCCCAAAATCCTTCCCAATGGATTTGGAGCTCGTGCTGGAGGACAGGGAAGTTGCTGTGCTGCCAAGTGCAGCAGGAGCAGCTCTGAGTTTAGCTAATCTTAATTAGGGATCTCCGGGCTAACCCCACATCAATTGCAGGATTCCCCAGGCACTGCAGGATGGCTCCTGCTAATTGGATCACTCCTCAAGCTTTGAAAAAATCAGGATTATTCCAAGGGAAAGATATCCCGAGATCTGACCACAGAGAAAATTCGGATTCTATTCCCTTTTTTTTTCCCTTCCTGGTTTTTCAGACTTCGAGGCCGTGTTATCAAACCCGATTTACAAACAGAAAAGCTGCAAAGTTGCTCAATAAAAAAGAGAAACGAGGTCGCAGAGCACTCAGCCAACAGCAAGATCTCGAAATTTAAGCAAAACCACTGCCCTAGAGCCAGGAGAGGTCCCAGCTCGGGCTCCTCTCACCAAACCCACCCAGAGGGAGTGGAAGGAGGCTGGGATGGATCTGATGGAGCTCCCATTTGGGATTTTCCTGCTCACACTCCTGTGCTCAGCCAAGGGGAGCAGGTTTTTATTCCCTGGGCTGTGGGGAGGTGAGGCCAGGGCAGCACACACAGCTCTGGCAGCAGCGTCCTCCCCCCGCAGCAAAATTTGAATTTACAACCCGCTGGTGGCAGCTTGGAGACGGGCAGGAATGGGGCTCCTAATCCCTGAAATTACAATCCAGAAATCTCCATTTGGGAATTTTCTTCCTCCTGAGCTTCCCGCTGACAACACACCCAGCCTTAAATAAGATTAAATCCCACACTGACACACGGCTCCATCATCCCAGAGGATCCCAAAATTCCCTTGACAAAGGAAATTCCCCCTCCCGGAGCTCGGAACTGCGGGGTTTCAACCCTCACTTGGATCTTTGCTTGGGGCCGGTCCTGCTTTCAGGATGATGTTCCCGAGGTCAGGGGACAGGGGACAGGGAAGGGACCAACCCCTCCCTGCGCCTTCCCTCAGGTGAGTCCTTATCAAACACCCCCAGGTGAGCCCTTATCAACCCGCGGCACCACAAAGGGCCATAAAGGGCCGGGAGGTGACAGCTGTGCTCCAGGTGTGCCCCAGGTGGGGCTGGGCCCTTTCATCTCACCTCAAACCTGGCACAGACCGGGGAAAAAAACCCAGCAGGATGGGTTTTGGGGTCATGGAAACCTTGGGAATGTTTTATTCCCTGGCATCCATCGGTTGGGAGCAAGAGGAGCTGGGCTGTGCTGGCACTGCCACATCCTCCCCAGGGATTTGGGGTGGCTCCAGGGGTGACATTTCAGCAATGACATCCCAAAGGAAGGATGTGGCAGTGGGGACAGGAAAATCCGGGAAAAACCCAGCAGGTGGAACCTCGTTTTGTGAGCTTTGCTTTTCCCAAATTCCCTGAGGACACAGCACAGTGGGGTTTTATCAGAGGGGTTTTATCAATGGGATTTTATCAATGGGATTTTGTCAGTGGGATTTTAACAGAGGTATTTTAACACAGGGATTTTAGCAGTGGGATTTTAACAGGTGGATTTCAAGAGTGGGATTTTATGGGTGGGATTTTAGCCACAGTCGGGCACATCCCAAGGTCGCTCCTCATTTTTCCCTTTCAAGCTCCGGTGCCGGCCGTGCCCATGGGAAGAGCAGTGCCAGCCCCGCCAGATGTCACCGCAGGTGTCACCCCGGGGCCGGGGGACCTGTCCTGCCCGGGCAGGGGCTGGCCCTGTCCTTGGGCTGGCAGCAAACACCCCCTTATCTCCCGTCCCTTATCTCCTGGGCAAACAGCGGGGTCGCTCCGTGCCCGCCCCGCACGATGGTTAATTACCCCCATGTTTAATTACCCCCATGTTTAATTATCCCGGTCCTCGTGGGAAGGGGCAGGTAGGGGGGGGGAGGTGGGAACTGCAGGGGAATTCCACGACGGGAGATGAAATGGAGCTGGAAAAGCAGCGGGTAAACAGCCAGGGAATGTCCCATGGGATGTGCTCAGCCAGCAGGGACACCTCACACTATATCCCAAATTCCTGACAGGGAATGTCCCATGGGATGTGCTCAGCCAGCAGGGAAACCTCACACCGTGTCCCAAACACCACAAGCCCCAATCCCGGGATGTTTCCCCGCTGTTGTGTGAGCAATTCCCTTTTCCTGGGACACGGGAATTCCCTCCTGGAGCAGGAGCTGCTCCTCCACCAACGCGATGGATGCAGGAACATCCATCCAGTGCTGGGTCCCTAAAAACCTTCGCTGATCCCCTAAATCCTCTCCTGCAGCCCCAGGGAAGAGCGGGGCACGGGGAGGGCGCAGCCCCAGCAGAGCCCCCCTGTCCCTGTCCCCCTGTCCGGAGGGGGGCTGGGCACAGCAGCTCCATCCCAGCGCATTCCCAGAGCCGGGAATGCAGGGCAGGGCAGGGAGCACATCGGGGAAGGTGTTAAAGAGCCCGGCAGTTGTTTATAACCCGCCGGGAAGCGGCGATTACTCCTTAATCCTCTCTGAGCGCCGCTTTACGAGCCACGAGCAGCACAAACACCTGGGCGAGGAACCCTGGAGCACAAAAATCCCCTGGGCAAAGAACCCTGGAAACACAAAAATCACCAGGAGCACAA